GTTGTAGACAGAGAGGATAGTTAAGAATAAATCCAAGAAAAAGTAATTTATACACACTTTTAACTTGGGCTATATTGAGTACATCCCATTTTCATTATCCAACAGAAACCTGAAAACAAGTGAAATTTTCCACCCAACATCAATGACTGTCACAAATCCTCTAACCTCTCTTGAATGAAAACATGTGCCAAGTACTCTTAGAATATGTCATCAGATTTTTTTGTTATAAACCAATACCTTAATGACTTGATCCAAGAAAAACAATTGTGACCTAACAACCTTAACCGCCCCATAAGTGGCACAGATCCTAGCTCTGCTGGGGCTGAGCTACCCATTCAGCAGAAAGTTTGTCTGAGTATTGAATTTTAAACAGACAAAATCAATGACAGTCCCTTATCTTCTCCCATACAAGATTCCGATGGCTTTTGCTTCCCATTTTAGAACACCAGTGCATGCTAATTTAGAGTATGAAAAAACCAAGGAGTAAAATGTACTAAGAGTTGATTTTTCACAAAAAAAAGAGGGAATGTTCTAAAGAGTGTTTTATACACATTTCTATCGATAGGATGCAATTGATACAGCTGGTTTTAGAATGAAATCAATGGGCATCTCTTTGTAGAACCCAAGGCACTGTATCACCCCAAACACTTAAAAGCCATTTGTTAGAGTACTGCTCTCCATTGCTTTTCCTTCAGTCAAACTTAATTGAAGGGATTCAGGTGACAAAACAGTGTAAAGGGATGGAATCAGCAAAGTAAGGTGAAAGCAAAAGGTGCCTGTGAAAAGAAGAGGATTTGCAAGCTGCCCTTGAAGCTGAATTTTTCCATTTCCTAAAGAAGGTCCTTGTATAAGTCATTTAGTCTGTCATTTATTCCAAGATGGCTCAACTGATATTCCTTGGGACTGGCTAGAGAATAAATACATAAGCTAAAACAGTAATCCAGATTCCAAGATCACTCAAGCTTCAGTTTATTTGCCCAAGACTGCTACCTTATAGCTGCACGTCAGTAACACCAATGTTTAGGGAGTGAGTACCTCCCCTCTTGGAACTGCACCAACATATTTCTCATCTTCTAAGCAGCCATAGGGTGTCTGTACAGTTTCAATTTTATTCACAATTTACCTAGGGTGAATTGGATTCAGTGGCCTGAATTCTGATTTAGAGCTATAGGCCCAGTTCTTATTCACAATAAAGCTCTCTAATGAATTGTTTTAGAGACACATGGAATTAGGGAGTAAATAAATTCAACCACTTTAACATTATGTATTCAGCTATGAATACGTGCTCAAAAGTGTTACATAAAACTGGTCATTTCCAATGGAGAAGCTATAACCTTCTTGGTGTCTCTCCTTTCAGCCATTAGGGCCGTGTAAAATGGACTTAGTATAAATGAATCTTTGTACTGATTTCTATTTCTTCATTGCCAGTACTATGTCATTCAATTACCCTTCATCCCACTGTGTGACTAGAATTTTTTGTCATGAACCATTTTTAAAGTCTACAATGATATGAAAGAGGAAAAAAAGTTTTCCTTCAAAGAAGTCAAGAAGAATAAGATTGATGACTTTTGTTCATGAATCCAACAGTTTAAATTAAAAAATCCAAAGCCCTCATGACTCTAGTTAATTGTACTTTGGAGATGGGATTTCAATATTTAACTTTCTGCAGGTATAATGAAAACTTTCCTGCACATCGAATGATTTTTAAATTTTTTTTCTCCTAGTATTTCATCATAATCTTTTTGTTATGGGAATCAGAAATACAGGAGACATTTCAAAACCAGTCAGTTGAGACAGTAAGCAGTTAAATAACTCTGGAAAAGAATGCCTTAATGCTGCAAAGATGTAAGCATGTGCTGAAATGTATGCATGAAGAGTCCCATATGTAAAATTAATTGCCTAAATCAGCACATAATGATGATGCAGCACAATAGTACAAATAAACTAAAGTGATTACATGGACAAAAGCTGTATTTTTTCCTTGTAAAAAAGATAATGATTAGAATATTGCATTTCCTTCCTGTCTTTATTTGAAAGGGTGCAAAACAGAGATAAGTCACACAGCTCCTCCTGGGCAGTCATATTAACTCTGACGGAGGTCTTGCTCAGCTCTTCACCTCTCTGCAGTCTGCAGATTAGAAAACAGGCGCCCAGAGCACTTTCTCTCTTGCCATTGGACTCCAGTTTTATATCCCCGTTTCAATAACTGTCGCATGAAGTGATCTCCATCTAGGACACACTTTTCACAAGGTCTCTTCCCCCCCCCCCCCTCTTT